GTTCCTTCCAACATCCCGAAGGCTGCTGGGAACAGCCTGTCGGGGTGTGCTGTGGAAGCACAGAGGGACCGGGCCGGGCAGTCCTGTCCCACCACCCCGGCTGCAGCCTGGGGCTGCCAGGCAGGAGCCACGCTCCAGTGCCGGCATCTCCTCCTCCTGGTCCTGGGGCGCATCCCCCTCCTCAACGTGGCTCAGGATTGCTACACAATAAAGAGAGAGGAGGGCATGGCAGGGAGCCCTGGGATCCACCTGCCAACCAAAACAACCATTTCTCTGGAGAAAAGGAGGCTGAGGGGAGACCTTATTACTCTCTACAACTACCTGAAAGGAGGCTGTAGCGAGGTGGGGATCGGTCTCTTCTCCCCAGTAACAAGTGACAGGACGAGAGGAAACGGCCTCAAGCTGCGCCAGGGGAGGTTTAGGTTGGATATTAGGAAAAACTTCTTCAACAAATGGGCTGTCAGGCCCTGGCACAGGCTGCCCAGGGCAGGGGTTGAGTCCCCATCCCTGGAGGTATTTAAAAGACGGGGAGATGTGGTGCTTGAGGACATGGTTTAGTGGTGGGCTTGGCAGTGATAGGTTAACAGTTGGACTCGATGATCTTAAGGGTCTTTTCCAACCTTAACGATTCTGTGATTCTATGATTTTAGGTTACGAGGCCATAAACCTGTCCTCCAGCACCCGAAGCAGTTGAGTGCGCAGGGGAGCGACCTGGCGGGCACAAGCGCGTTACAGAACAACGGGCGAACCCAGGCTGAGACTTGCTCATTAAACACTGAATACTTTTACATTCAAGCCAGCGTGGTACTGCCTGTAGACTTACTATTGTGCTTGCTTATTAACTTGTTTTTTGTGCCAGCTCGCCCCTTAGCGCTGGCAAGCCTGCAAGGGGGGCAGCGAGGAGGGAGATGAGGGCTGCTCGCAGCTGCGGCACGGGACGGGCCTCTCCCACGCTGGAGCTGTTTCTCGCAGCGCCGGAGGAGCCGGAGACCAGGCCCGGCTTGGCCGAGGCCTTCAGAGCAGCCTCAGGGGCTCGGATGGGAACTGGGCATGCGGAGCAGGCCGGCTCTGACAGCTCTCAAGCCGCTTCGGTTCCCGAGGGTGGGATGCGTGAACCTGGGGTGGGTACACGCAGCTCGGCTGGCCCAAGCCTGCAAAGCGACCCGCCTCCGGGCCGGTGCGGGGCCCCGCCGCCCTCCCCGCCGCGCTAAGATGGCGGGCGCCGCGGCCCGGCCCCCC